TGTGTGTGTGTGTGAGAGACAAAGAAAGTGACTTCAACTGAGATCAACCTATAAAAAACAACTGAGTGTGTGAGCGTCATCCTGCAGAGCGCTCCGGAAATCCTCTTACCTCTCTGAGCCTCGGTGGCGGCTGCAGAGGCAGTCCTTTCTTCTCCTCCTCCTCCTCCTCCTCCTCCTCCTCCTCGCCTCCCCTCGCTCTGCTGGCAGCACTCCCACCCTCCTCTTCCCTCTTTCTTGCTCCCTTCCTCCTCCTCCTTCTCTCTGTCTCCCCGCTGGCCGTCTGCCAGCTCCGTCTCCCCTGCTGCCTCCGCCGCTGCCGCCACCGCTGCTGTCATCACTTCTTCTTCTTCTTCATCGTCTTCTTCCTCTCCTCCTCCCTCTTTCTGCTTCAGCTCCAGCTCGGAGAATCGCAGCATCGCACGCTGAGAGAAAACACAACAACATCAGTGACAACAAACCTCGTAGTTTCCTCATCAAGGGCAGAAAGTGGCAAATTCTTTATTCAAAGTTCAGCAAAATCGAGTTCTTTTTTTTTCTCACTCAAATGAGACTCTTCTACAAACTCAGATTCAGTCGATATCTGGGGGATTGTTCAGTGTCACATTCTGATATAAACAGTCAGAGGTGAGTTCCTGGCTCTTTTCTCTGGCAGCTGGAGCCTCTGGAAGCTTTAGGATTTCACAAACCACAAACAGAAAATCTAAAGTTTATCTGAAGCTCACTTTGCGACCCTGGAGTCTGCTGCTCTGAAGGGAAAAAAATAACACCCTGTTGGCATTTGAACACACCAAAAATACTACAAAAAATGCTGTGCTAAAAAACAGGTGCTACAAAGAACATATTCCTTTACTTTTACTAAAGTAACTCAGCAACGCCTTCCAGCTCCTCCTGAGGGATCCTGAGGCGTTTCCAGGCCAGGTGATACCCCCTGCTGGTGCCGGTTTACAGTTGGTTCAATTTTACCCCTTTGACACAGAGGCAGTTTTGAAGACTGATTCGGAGCTGGCACCTAATCTCGAACCAGTTCTTGGAAAACTGGTGAGCTAGCTGGCGTACCCTTGATAACAATAGCTAACATTAAAGATGTATAATGTCTCTATGGAGGCTCGCTAGCTCATGGAAAAGCAAACCAGTCCTTAGAAGGTTCTTAAGTTGGACCAACTCTAAACTGGCACTGGCACTAGCACCAGAACCAGAACTAGCACCAGAACCAGAACTAGCATTAGGTTTGCGTTGGTAGAAAGAGGTAGAACATTACAAGAACTGGTATGCTTTTCCAGGCTAGAGAGCCATGTCTCCAACGTTAGCTATCATTACCACGGTTACGCTTAAATACGGAGCCGGCTGGCCACAAAGCGCCTCCAGATCTTTTTGTAAGTGGTTCTCCGTTCTAGACCAGCAAAATGTTGGTGCCGCACTGGAACCACAGCCAAATAACTGGTTTGAGATGAGGCTCCGAACCAGCCCTCAAACTGCCTTGGGGGAAAGGCAGTATAATCACTCCAGAGACTTCCTGCCGTCTCCTCCCAGTTGCCTCCAACCGTCCAAAGGAAGGCACCCAAGAGGATCCTAATCAGATGCCAGAAGTGGCGGCTGTACTCCGAGCTCCTGATCTCCGAACCCCTCACCATGCCGCTGACTAATATAATATAATAATATAATATAATATAATACAATCTGTCACTGAAGATACATTTCCATTTTAAATGTTATGTTGAGATATCTCTCTCAAAATGAAGCAACTAGTAAACATCTTTTTCTGTCTGATTCTTGACTCCCCATCGTCCCACTCAGACAGACAGACAGATATCCAAGATGTTCATCCTCCACTGAACCAAACCTCAGTATTACCACCGGTAACCGTCAGTAACCACTCCCCATGTGCTCTCCGACAGGCCAGTATTTCTCGCTCACCTCGCTCTGCCCTGACCACAAACCCATTTTAAAAATTAATGGCCCGTGAAACGATCTACAAATCCATCCAACGCTGCCGGCAGCACCCAAGGGCGTAGGAGCAAAATGTGAGTTAATTTGAGTAGTAACCCTCCTCCTCCTCCTCTTCCTCCTCCAGGAGCCACGACTGACCGAGCAAACAGCCTTCCAGAGGGAACGAACCGCCTGACAGCTCAGCTTTCTGTCCACTAAAGTCCTTTAAGAGGCGGGAAACAGCTGAGAGACATCCACAAACAAAATTACATCAGCTGTCTTGCCAACATGTCCTCTCTTTGTCTGTATCTATATTTCAGGACTCTTGTTGTCCAGAAACAAATTTAAAACAACATATTCAATTACCTGTAAATAATCACACTTAGATTTTACATTACGTTAATTTCATAAAGTCCCGAAGAACTGAAAAATACATTTTTAACCTTTTGAGATTATATCTCCAGTCATATTTTACTTTTAATTAACAATGTGTGCCTCACTGAACTTACTTTACTGTACAAAAACACAACTTATCTTGAAACTGGATCCAAAAACACTCTGACCTGTTTGTAGGTCACAGTTTAATGTTCACTGTCACTCAGCAGAAATCCGGAGCATTATTTTGGTCCAGTTCTTACAATAAAGAGAAGCTGTTTGATGGGAAATGTAGTTCATTATTTATTTATTCTTACTTCACCACAACGCAGCCTCCATTAGGAAAACAACAGATGCCAGAGCGCACACTTTCTGTGTCTGCGTGGTTGAAGTAGTCAAGGCTAATCTGGGCTCCAAGGATGAGGGAGAAGAGGAGGATTTCATTAAAACTACCACTTTCCTTCCTCCTCCATCTGCCGAGGGATGGAAGAGGAGGATGAAGAGGGGGGAGGAGGATGGAGAGATTTAATTTGAGTTGAAGGGGGGATCTCGAGGGGACGGGGTGGTGAAGAGAAAAAAGAGAAATAACAAGAAGCAAATGACGAACGGAGAGGCAGAAAAACACAAACAGCAAAGAACTGATGCTGAGACAGATAGACGGCAGTAAGATAATAAGACTTTCTGCCTCAGTTTCCTTCATTTTTTGGGGAACACTCAGCAGGATAACAGTTGCCTGGAGTCACACACATACAGCCGGTTTTATCCTCACTCAACCCCAAAACATTCGTAGACGGAAAAAGAAAAAAGGAGGTGAAAGAGGAGAACAAACCTCTTCATACCTGATAATTCTTCACTGCCTCTCTGACCAGATTCAAACACCCTGACAAAACCTCAAACACATCCTCATCCTCAACAAGGGTTTGAAAAAACGGTCCCGAAAATTGTAAGTCTCGAGTTCGGCCTGATTGCATCATGCTGTATGGAGTAAGACTTGACCCCTGCTGGCCATTAGAGAGAATGCAGGTTTAAGACACTTCACAGCCCACAGACAGTTGGACAATAGCTAGGTGTGTTGTTATGTTGGCCCATAAGGTCATAATATGAATGACAAGCACTTCCTGAAGTGCATCGTAAAACAGCTGAAGAACATTATTTCGTATGGTTTCACTATGGTAGCATGAGGATTTAAGCTTTTTGGGGCCGGAGAGAGAAACTTAAAACACTTGTACAGTAAGAATCGGGACTTCCACGATGGCGACATCCTGGTTTAACACAGAACTGCACAGTCCAATTATATCACAGTGAAGCCTGTTTCCTCTCAGTGAGTGTGAGTTAAATTACCTTAATGAACAGTAAGCAGAAAAAATCAATATGAGAACACAACCAGGCAGCGGTGGTGCAATCATTACACTGCAAACCACCGGTGAAAATCAGATTTGCCCTCCCGGTCTCACCAGACTATCACTGTTTACTGGACTAATGAAGACAGACTCTAAATGCAGATCTTACCTGGAGTGCTTTCTGCTCTCTGCTCAGCTTGCTGGAGTCAGCGTAAAGCTCTGTGGTTACACATTTAAACCGGTCGCCCACGTAGCCGGAGGAGTTGGCGATGCGTTTGGTGAGGCCGGAGCGCCGGTTCTTGCCAGCACCTTCTTCATCGTCTGCCAGGGGGTCCATGCTTTCCTGGATGTCTTTCTCACCGTCTTCACAGCTAGCAGTGGTGAGGCCGGAGTTTGGCTCTGGTTCTTTGGAAGAAAGGCTTTCAGAATTTAGGTCTTTGTTTGGTTCTGGAGTCAGATCTGCAGGCATCACGTTAAAGCCTCCATTGGTAGGGTTGCCAGGTGAAAGGTGCCGACAGGTTGGACCCAAAGGAAAATTGCTTCTATATGTGGGGACCCTGGGAGTGCTATTTACACAGCTCTGGTTATTTCCAAAAGAATAGCCTTTCGAGAGAGAATTCCCACAATTTGGACAACTAAAACAGTTCTTCCCACATGCAGGAGCCCTGAGATCGATGTTTCCACAAACTGGGCGCACGGCATTGCGGTTTTCACAATTTGTAAATCTGGGATTGATGCTCCTGCAGTTTGGACTCACAGGGTTGCTATTTCCATGAGTTGGAGCGCTGAAAATTCTGGGTTCACAAATTGGAGCCCTCAGAGGCAGATTTCTGCAACATGGGCCCACAAAATGTCTGCTGACCAAATTTGGATCTCCACTGTTACATGTGGGACTTCTTGGGTTGATGTTAACATGGGTGTTAATAACTCCTCCAGCTGGAACCCTGGGGTTAAAACTCCTGCATGCTGGGACCTTGGGACTGAATTCTCTACCTGCCGATCCCTTATTGTCTAAATGACAGCTGCTGGTGACCGTACCCACTGCTCCCATGATGTTAGCACTCTTACAGTCACTAGAACAGTTTTCTTTACTAAAAGGACCCAATGAGTTGCCATTTCCGGAAGGGCTTTGCTCGGGGTTAACGCTTTTATTGGCTGAGGCTTCACTCTTCCCATCAACACCAGTAGTGACACCCCTCATCAAGTCCCCAGCACTGCCAGAGGCTCCACTTTTACATTTCCTAGAGAACTGCTGTATAGAGGTTCGGGCACAGCGCATCGTCTGCTCCTCCGGGATGTCCGGGAATGGACTGAGTGGGTCTTCCTTTTCTGAGATCTCATCTGGGATCTCCTCACGAGGAGAAGGAGGTGAAGAGGAGTTATGATGAGGAGGTTGTGGTTGGGAGGTGTGAGGTTGTAAGCCTGGTTTCTGCTCGGTATCCTGGCTGGGAGGGACGTCTTTTGGAGGGTGTGGCTCTTTGTCTTGGATGTGGTTACAGCCACTGCTGCCATGCTTAGAGGAATCTTCTCTTTTGGTACTTGGGGAGCTCTGCTTCTTGGTGGACAAATCATCTTCTGACTCATCACGTACCAGGTCAATAACAACAACATCATCTTTGGCAGAAGTGAGGCTTTTGCCTGAAGTCTTTATGGTTTGGTTTGGGGACTTGTCTCTTTCAGTGTCACTCTTGTGGTAACTGTCAGCATCCGGCCTTTCCTGCTTCCTGTATGGTTCAGCATTCCAGGTTTTATCCTGGGTCTCAATACGGTCAAGACCTGGATGGGAGGAAGCAGGTGAAGGGGCTATCCCCCGGGAATTCTGGTATGTCATGAAGTCGCCCTGGTTTGGATGTATTCCATATGGAAGGCCATGCTTTGGTGCCATGCGAGGCGGGTAAAAGCTGCTGCTGCCAAGCAAGACTGGATGTGGATAGACAGGCCCTTTGCCTGGTATCGTCATACGTTGCAAGGACATATTCTCAGCAACTGAGTATGGGATGTAGCGGTTAGTGTAACCTAAGCCAGGAGGGAGGTAAGAGTCACCGTAGATTTGACGGGAGGAGTTTCCATTTTCTACATGAGGCTGCTGTTGTGGATGAGACTGGCTCTCTTGAGCCTCCGACTTAGTAGGAGTAATGCTCTGTTGTTTTCCAGGACATGTATGAGTTTCTCCTTTACTGTTTGGATTGACTTTCTCCAAATCAGTAGGGGGAGCTCCTGGCAATTCAACTTTGGACTTTGGGGAAGGAGAAGATGCAGAGGGTCTTCCCCCTACACCAGGGCTTGGAATACTGGCTACCTCAACTGCTGTGGAGCCAGGTGAGCTTTGAGGTTGTGCATGATGATCTGCACTCTTGTTTTTCATAATTTGGGAGCCTCTGTGGTCAGTGTTGACAGCTGGGGAAGGACCCGGAACAAGCCAAGGAGAGGGCACAGTGCTGATTATTTCACGACGATTTGGAGTCTCTGCCGACGTGCTAACAGGTGGGGGTTGGCCCTCCTTGGAGTGCTGTTCCTGACTGCCTAGCAGCCCGTAGCGAGATGGTGGTAGATACCCCAGCTTGGCCAGTGCCTCTAATTTGGACGGGAATCCATTTGGGAATCCTTCCAACTCTTTGGCAGACAGATCCAACGGTTTTTCTGCCGAGTTTTTGGCAGGCTTATGAGAAACGGCTCTGTCCAGTGACGTCTTTGCAGGTGACTTCTCTGCACTACAGCCGTCAGAGCTGGCATCTTTGGTTTTGTTGTTGCCCGAGTGCACAGGAGAGCAGTGCTCAGAGCTCCGGCTGCTCTTGTAAAACGGGCGAGACACTGAAAGAGAGGTTGATGATGAGGAGGTGCTTCTGTAAAGCGACTTCTGGAGGTCTGTAGTGGTGTTTGTTAGGGGTTGGGGTGGAGCAACTGTGCATGGAGGATGGGTTACTGGGGGTGACTCTAAGGCAGCAGTGCTAGCTGAACTGTTAACAGGGGCACCACTACTTCCACCAGTTTTGCTACTGAGAGAGTTGTTGGTGGAAGTGAGGTGACTGGACTTTGTGCCACTGCTGCCATGTTGTCGCTCAGTGTGGTGAACAGTATCCCGGTGGATCTGTGGACTGGTGCTGAAGGCAGAGTGTTCCTGATGTATCTGAGGACTAAGACCCTGTAAGGCCTTGTCCTGGCAGTGGGGCAGGGGTGATAGGACAGCAGGAGTTGGAGTGGCTGTGTGGATCCGTATTGGAGGGCCCAGAGGGGACGAGATATGGCCCGGGGAGTAATGAGGCAGGTAGAAAAGTCTGTCTTCCCCGGGGGCGCTGCTTCCTGCCCCAGCGGCACACAGAGACTGATACGCCAGCTGCTGGTGGAGGAAGGGCGACGGCTGGGACAGGAAGGAGGCCTTGTAAGCCATGTCCAGGAAGGGGTACATTGTTGCATCAGCATAAGGGCTGAACCAGGGCAATCTCAAGAAGGTGCCAGCACCATTTAGACCCAGTTCTGACTGCTTGTCACCGGGTAGAACTCGGCGATCCATCCCCAGGCCATCAGCTCCTGCGGCAGGGACAATTAGGGGTTTCTGAAACCCTGGTGGTGGGCTCTTATAAAGTCCAACATAACCGCTTGCAGATTTCTGCCCATCCAACAGGGTTACGTCTGGTTTGTACAGGAGATCATAGCCAAGTGGGAGAGAAGTGCCGGCCTCCTGGGGCTTTTCACCAGAGAGAGGATGGATGCCGGGATAGAAAATACCTCCGTAGGGCCGGTTGGTTTCCCCAACCAGAGCGTTCCGGTCGATGCTGAGGGCAGCTAGAGGGTTCATCCTGTAAGGTGTGCTGGCATCCACCTGCAACATAGACAGTCACAGTAAGTAACCAGACTAGACAGAAGGGAACCTTCCTAACACCAGAAACATTAACGAACTCCCTTTAATGAACCGTTAGTAAGCACGTGGTTGAATTCATCATTCAAGGACAAACAGGAATGGAGGCAGGGGGAAGGATTCTGTCCATTTAGAGAATCTCCACTACAGAAAATGAAGCCTGTGATTTCATTTTTCCTCTCACGGAGAAAAATAAGAGCAGCCTTTTATTTCTTTTTTTTTTTAGTATTCCTGGATGACATACAACGCCCGAAGCTACACTCTCACTCTCCCTCGACAGGAAACAGGAGGAGAGAGAGAAAAGAGAGGAAAGGCAAGGGAGAGGAAAAAGAGAAAGAGGAAGCATGAGATCAACAAAGAGAGAGCGAGAGACAAAGGGAAAGCATGGCAGAGAGAGAGAGAGAGAGTAATATAAAAAAAAAAACAGGCTAATTGAATTTCCTGTCACACAGTGTCGTGAACCATCTCTGATTGGCTATCAGCCGCAGGGCCGTTAGGAAATTATCCAGACAGCTGGGTGGCCGCCTGAGACGTGGAGGAAGCAGAGAGATCCTTCACTTGTTTTTCAGGGCACGAAAAAGTAAAAAGGAAAGAGGTCGAGAAGTGTGTCTGGTGGAAAATTAAAGTTATTAATGGAATTAATGGAAAAGCAGCGAGGAAGGGTTTCTGAACACAAACCCAGAAATTACAATTCTTCTCAACTGTTCCAGTAAGTCGTCCTTTTATAAACAATAAATATAATAAATAAATAAATATGATTCATAGCAATACGCTCAGGATTCAGAACAACTCAGTGAGGTTTAAGAATCCTTTTTTATTTCTGAGGGTTTAAACTGTAAAACTGAAAATATAATCATATAAGATATAATCTGATTACAGCTTCGGAAATGTTGACCTTTGACCTCACCATGCTGTGAGCCCGCAGTCCTCTGGTTTCGGCTTCAGACGGGACCGTCTGCCTCGAGGACGCCGCTCAGTCCGCCATGTCTGCAGACGGAGAGAAAAACCACATGAGAGGAAGTTTTCTGAGTGAAAGCGACACTGTGGTTTCTGAACAGGAACAGAGGTCTCACTCCGCCACAGAATCAGTTTCACTACGTTTTATATTTCATTAAAGCCTCTGTTAAACCCGACCAGGGAAGTCCTCTTCCTCAATATGTAAATGTTTAATTTTATACCTTTTAGGGACCATTTAATGGTAATTTAAGCAGCAACAAAGAACAGTTGATTCTGGCGCCCCCTGTGGACAGACGCAGCAGCGTTCCTTTCTCCTTTCATTGAATTTAAGGGGAATCCGACCTGGTGGCAGACATTAATAATGAAACATAATAATAATAAATATAATCTTCTGTTTGAGGTTTGTTTCTGCAGCTCATAGAGAATTATTTTATATGCAGCATTAATCACTGTTAAATGTCAATATGTATTTTATTATGTTTTCTGGATGGAAACTGTTTCAGAAACTGTTCAATAATAAGAAACTAAATTAAACCCATTCAATTATTATTTCGTCAACAGTAAAATGTACATTTATCCAGTTTGAGTCGAGAGCAGAAAGATTCATTTTCACATTTTATAAAACGGCAGAAAAAATCTTTTTTTTGGAGAACATTTAGTTTAATTATATTTTTATTCCAGCAAAACTCAAATGATTGTGTTTTTACATCCTTTCAAATAGTTACGTTTACACATTTTTCCACCTCGTAAATCGACGTAAAAACTGAATAATTTGAGTCTTTGGAGAACATTTTGTGACACACACACACACACACACACACACACACACACTGATGTCGAGCATTGTAGCTGCAGACTGTGTGTGTGTTTTATCGCCCAGCCGGAGGACTGATAAGGCACGTCGCCTCGTTTCCCGGGGAAGTCATAATCCAGCAGACACACACACACACACACACACACAGAGACACACACACACACACACAGAGACACACACACACACACACACACACACACACACACACACACA